GTTTCCCACGCCGACCATCCAAGTAAGTCTCACAGGGTGTACGCAGTACTCGATGACCAAAGCAACCGGTCTTTAGTAAAATCAGAGTTCTTCAATCTCTTGGACATTAACAGCAGTGCATCCCCCTACACTCTAAAAACATGCTCCGGCATGGTGGAGACTGCAGGGAGGAAAGCGAGTAACATCATGGTGGAATCGCTTGATGGGAAAACCAAGATGACACTTGGCGTGTTGTTGGAGTGTAACTACCTGCCTGACGACCGATCAGAAATCCCAACTCCTGAGTGCACCCAATATTTTCCTCACCTCAGACCAGTGGCTGATAAGATTCCTCCGCTTGACCCCAGTGCTCCCATCTTGTTGCTGTTAGGCAGAGATATTTTGAGCTTGCACAAGGTACGTGAACAGCGTAATGGGCCTCACAACTCGCCATACGCTCAGCGTCTTGACCTTGGCTGGGTCATAGTTGGGGAGTTATGCTTAGGCGGTGCTCACAAGACAGAGGAAGTCAACGCCTACAAGACACATGTCCTTAAAAATGGACGCTCTTCTTTCCTTAAGCCATGTACCAATAACATCCATATAAAGGAGAGATTTAAAGGTCCGCCTCAGTGTGGTCTTCTAATGCCATCACACGGTGAGGAGATCTTTCAAGAGACGTGTCGAGATGGCCTGGGGGAAAATGTGTTTCAGAAAACACCTGAGGATGACAAACCAGCCATGTCAGTTGATGACAACAATTTTCTTACAATTATGGACAATGAAGTATCCATAGACGACGAAAACCTCTGGGTGGCACCGCCACCTTTTTGTTCACCTCGCAGGCCCCTTCCTGATAATAGAGAACAGGCCTCCCAGAGACTCGCCTCTCTCCAGTGTTCATTCACAAGGAGACCTGACATGAAAGAGCACTTCTTTGACTTCATGCAGAAAGTCACTGACAACCACCAGGCAGAACCAGCTCCTCAACTACAGCCAGGGCAGGAGTGTTGGTATTTGCCAACTTTTGGAGTATACCACCCCCAGAAGCCTGGAAAAATAAGAGTTGTTTTGGATTCCAGTGCGGAGTACAAAGGAACATCACTGAATGATATGCTTCTCAGTGGACCCAACATAAACAACACTCTAATTGGTGTTCTGCTAAGGTTTCGGAGAGAACAAATAGCTGTCACAGCCGATGTGGAGCAGATGTTCTATGGGTTCAAGGTCAGAGAGGACCACCGCCATTTTCTTTGGTTTCTCTGGTACAAGGATAATGATCCAGACAAGGAGATCATTGACTATTGGATGACTGTGCACGTGTTTGGGAACAGCCTGTCCCCGGCTGTAGCAACATATGGGATGAGGAAAGCTGCAGAACACGGAGAGACTGAACATGGAACAGATGCAAAGCATTTCATCTTCAGAAATTTNATGCTAATGCTAATCGCGACGCTAACCGTTAGCAAGAGGCTAGTTTAGTTGTTATGGCTAATTCAATCCATCGTCAAACCTTGTTAATGTTATATGCTATGTTTATGTGTGAACCATATGGCTGTTTACTGTGTTTACATTGTTACTTACCTGTGGAAGCATACTGTAAAGGAAGATGTTTGCCTTATTTAATAGTGTGATGTACGTACCATTGTGTTGCAGTTTTACAAAAAAGTACTGAGAAGATTCAGTGAAGCAGCTTCATTCAAATCTAATGGGTCTCTCAAGTTTGTTCGCTATCTGTCAGCCAGGACAGAAAAGTAAAATGTTGACCACTCAGCGAGAAAAGGCAATTGAACAGCTGTGAACAGCACGCAGAAACAGCGCAACATGAGTGACCACGAGGAACGACGGTCTCTGGTGGAGACGAGGTCTCGAGTCTCAGCGTCACACAAATCCTCCAGAACGTCATCCCGGACATCAGTCAGCACTGCTGCGACAAGGGCCAGAGCTTCGGCTGAAGCAGCAAAAATTAAAGTATCCTTTGCAGAAAAGGAGGCAGCCATGATGAAGGAAAAGGCTTCAATAGAGGCAAGTCTTCACGTGTTTAAACAAGAAAAAGAAGCAACTGCAGCCTCACAAGAGGCAGCAATATATGAAGAAGCAGCGGCAGCCGAAAGAGAGGAAGAACGTCGTCTTGGTGAGTTACAGGATTTAGCTGTTGAAGATTCAATACAACGGACCAAAGACTACATAGAAATGCAGCCATTTGATGCACATGCTCCACAAGAGCTTCAAAATGCTACGCCACTGCCACCAGTTGTTCTTCAGGACACAGTGAAAATCTGACCCCCAAACCACAAGGCACAAGATTCACTGCATGGATCCTTTAAGGAGGAGCACAAACCCATTGCTGGAAAAGGCTATGCACCTCCCCCTGCCCCAAATGTATTTTTGCCAAAGCAGCAATACTCACCCATTACTCCTGACATGCAAAAGAAACATACAGCAGCTACTCATCCGGCTTCTCATCCAGCCCAGAATAACAAATACTCACCTTCAACACCTCAAACCCCTGACCTAGCCCAGTATCTCATGAGAAGAGAGATGGTGAGCTCTGGACTCCTTGCCTTTGATGACAGCCCAGAAAATTACTGGGCATGGAAAGCGTCTTTCCTGGCAGCCACAAGGGAGCTAAACCTATCTGATCAGGAAGAGCTCAACCTACTGGTGAAATGGCTGGGGCCCGAGTCATCATCTCAAGCCAAGCAGATAAGGTCAGTACATGTAAATAATCCTCGAGAAGGTGTTTATATGGTATGGGAGCGCTTGGAGGAAACATACGGAAGCCCAGAGGTGATCGAAAGTGCATTACTGAAAAAACTAGATATTTTCCCACCTATTTCTAACAAGGACACACACAAGCTCAGGGAGCTAGGTGACTTGTTAAAAGAGCTAGAAGCTGCAAAGGCTGAGGGATTCTTACCTGGACTCATGTTTCTAGACACAGCTCGAGGGGTGAATCCAATCATCAAAAAGCTTCCCTTCTCACTGCGGGAACGCTGGATCACACAGGGATCCAACTATAAGGAGGATTATCGTGTCCCTTTCCCACCCTTCAGCTTTTTCGTAGACTTTGTATGTTCCCAGTCTAAGACCCGCGACGACCCCAGTTTTACATTTAACCTTTCCTCTACCCCCAGCCAACTGAAGGTTGAAAAAGCACCAAACTACTTCCGAAAATCAGCTGTAACAGTTAGGAAAACTGATGTTACTGCCCAGTTAGTGCATCTCAGAACAGCATAGCTGTGAAGAGAAATGAACCGGCCAAACAGTGTCCTATACATAACAAACCTCATCCGTTGTCAAAATGCCGTGGATTCCGAGGAAAACATCTTGATGAGAGGAAAACATACTTAAAGGAGAATTCAATCTGCTTTCGATGTTGTGCCAGCACCAAGCATATGGCTAAAGATTGCAAGACTAC